CCGCAGTCTGCTCTTGATTCAAAGAAATTTCTAAATAGTCCTAAATTGATGACGATGTTGTTTCAAATGAGCCAAGCCGTCTTAGTTGATACTATAAAAAGTGACATCAGGTCAGTTTTCTGTTGGAAATTCTGGGTCATTTTGTCGGACCTTTGCGATATGGTCGTCTCCATTTCCCCAGACCATTCCGACAGGACCTTTTTCCAGGCCATTTCAGGCATCAACTGAGAACTTGAACTGAGGTACTCAAAAAGGCCCAGTTGAGTCACTGTGTGGGACTTGTGGTTAACTCATGCTGATGGGTTGTGACTCAGTAGGAAATTGTATTGACAAAAATGGAAAAGAAAAATTCTTAATGCTGCTTATCCCAAACCTACCATCCCAAAACCAACACAGCAAGCTGCTATCTGAATACTCACAACTCTTAAGTGATTCACATGGACTCAAGACTGAATTACTGGTCAACATGACAACAGTCAGCAGCAGTCACAGGACAACTGCATACGATATTTCCACGTCTTTGCCCACTTTGTTTGTTTTGGAAGAATTTTATTTTCTAGTGATCCTGTTATCCCCACTCTGCCAGATAAGCAGCGCTCATAAAACTCTGGCTTCTGCTGCACAGGATGGCGGGACGTTTACAATAAATGTCTGGATAAATCCACAAACGACAGGGTTGGCAACTCTTCTCCAGTGAAATACGCTAATGGCTGCTTAAAAAGTCACACAAAGAATTGGAGGCGAAGCCCTAATTTACATGTAGATTACGTTAATGGGCATATATTACCAGAATGAAAGGATTTACAACGAGAATAAATGAAAAAATGAATGTTGCATTCAAGATTGGATCAAAACGATAAATTTAGAGTCAGCTTTTAGGTCCCATTAAAAGAATGTGACACGTTTAGTCACAAACTGCCCTTCTCTTGTTTCCCAGCTGGTGTACTAACACACTGATCCAATGAACTTCATTTTGTGAGCAGCAGCTAGGACGTGCTGTTTACCCTGCTAAGGTCTGACTAATTAATTTGTGGTCATGCTCATAGACAGAAGCTGTCCAGGCATACGAACAACGAAGGCCAAACCGGTTACAGAAAAGCCTCTTTCCTTTCCCATCCCTTCCTTCTTTATTTAAATGCTTTCAGCAGAGAGAAGAGAGGGAAATGTTTTTGCTGGAAATGACACATGACTCCAGTGACGGCTCTCATTTAGACCACAGTAACAAAGGAAACAAAACAAAATTGAATATTTAAATGAAATTACTGCAGGGTTACATTTCTAGCAGGATACGTGTTTTTTCCAAATAATATTTAAAGGAATGTTTCATTTTTTAAGTGTTACTGCTTTAAAGCTATTGATAATCATGCTGATTAATCCTGAACAGCCTTTGTTAAGAGAAATAGAATTCAAACTCTTCGAGACTGACGAGCTAAAAACTTGTCCAAATTCCTGCTTAAGTTGCTCCCTTAAAGTAACACTAGATAGTTTTTTAAACTTTAAGCTAGAGCTTTAACATTGATCTCAGTGATTGTTGAGCTATAAACATGACCAGTTTCATATTTGACACCGCTCTCCTGGCCCAAAACTGCACTAGCAGTATTGTGGAGCAGCAAGGTGTCCTGGGTGGCGCTCTTTACCTGCTTGATGGCTGTTAGCTGGAATACTAGCAGTTAGCATTTTCAGTTTGCCAATTGTCAATAAAATGCACAAGAAGAAGAAAAATAAGTAGTTTGCCTTTTCTGTTGGCATCATGGCAGAGCCTGGAAGTAAAGGAAAAAGAGCAATGCCTTTGGAGGTGAAGCAAAGAACTAAACTGAAGTGAACACTGGTGCAGCCTAAACTAGTTTGAGGGAGCTAAAGGAGGCTACGAAATCACAGACTGATGATGACCTGGCTTTGTTGCTATTGGACTTGTAAACCAAACTCTACAGTTTTTTGCTGCAATCCTGACTGCCCCAGGATCTGTTGTGGCAAAAATTCAGTTTTAAGAACTGCTGTTTGAAAAAGTTGTTTTAAGACTAAAACTACCCATTAGCTTGTCTGTCCAAGACAATGTAAACTCCATTTCTCCAAACTGAGGTTATTTATGAAGCTGCCAGTCGATTGTAATAATTTATAGGTTTAACGCATTCTCAGTGGGCTGGTGGTAGAGTGTCCGCCCTGGGACTGGGAGATCAGGGTTCAAATTCTGGTCAAGTCATACCAAAGACTTTAAAAATGGGAGCCAAAGGGTTGGATTGGGGGTTAAACCACCAAATTAGTCCCAAGTACAGCTGCAGCTCACTGCTCCTCACAGGGGATGGGTCAAATGCGGAGATCAATTTCATCAGTGTGTGATGACTAATGGGACTTTAACTTTAACATAAAGAGGCATCAAGATGGTCAAAATAGAAGGAAAAAGGCTGTTTTCTTGCTTTTCTTGCTACTCAGAATCAATAATTAGATGCATACTCTCCTTTAAATGATCCTTTAAACATTGTCCATGTTATATAAAATTACATTCTTGCATTTATATATATCTTGTGTCGCTACATGTATATAATACTGTAGGATTATTGGAAATAAGTCAACAGGGAGTATGGATGCTTTACGGCACAATCAGTGGGAACCATCAGTGTAAACTTTTTATGAGCTGTTTCATTTCTGATTCACTCTCCACCTTCGGTCTGCTCTGACAGGTTTCCACCTACTGCCCAGCACACACACTGCAAGCCATCAATTTTTCAGCTGTAATAGCAACAATGGGCGTGGGGAAGGCTGTCATTCCTCTAATGACTGTGCTGTCATGAATATAATGGTGATGCTGTTTTGCTTTATAGACAGGAAGTCCACATGTTCCCAGTGTGAACAGGGCTGCTAGTAGCCGCTCGCCAAGCTGAAATGCCTGAGAGTTTGGTCTGCAGCAGCACGAAGAGGCACGTGATGGGAGAAACATAAAGAGGCGAGGTAAGGGTGGTTTGAAGCTTTAATGATGCACCCATGGAAAAAGACGAATATCCCTAACACGCCGTCTCGCCGATTTCTGATGTGCTGAAGCTAATCTGTCAGAGATCAGGAGGAAATGATCTGCCCATCAGTGACATCAATACATCAGCTGTCAAGCCAGCAATGTTGCCTTGCCTTTGCAGCAGACTGAAACGAGCACTTATGATTTAAGACGGGCTTATCACTGGCAACAACAACACAAGTCTCTGATCTGCTACAGGTTGCCAAGTGAGGCACTCTTACAGTGAGCTGGTCATTACCCAAAGTAGGCCTGAAGGCCAAATGCAATTATGAACGGCTCCCTACACATTATCCTGCCCATTTCGTAGCTGCTCACCAAAGACATTAATCGTCTACACCCAAACATGCTCTTAATCTTTTTTTCTTTGTAATTAACAAAGGCAGCATTTGTTGGAACATTTGGAGTTAGCGTCCTTGGCTAAGATGTGAATTATCACAAGAAAGTGTGTTCTTAAGTATTTTTTCTTCTTCTTGCTAAATTGTGTTTGTGTTTTTAGTAATAATTAACAAAATCAGCTCAGATCAACAAATACAAAGACTCCCACACAACAAAGACTCAGCTCTGACTTCAAACGAATTAGAGAGCCTCCCAATTCAATAACCATGTTAATGTCAGCATGTCTGATAGCATTGGAAGAGGCTGCATTGTGCAAAAACAGCTCGTGCAACTGCAAATCTCAACCGCTCGCATCTGTTGATGAAGAAATGCAAAATGGGCTCAGCAGCATCAGCAGCATCGGAGCTCTGAGAGGGAATTTTCTGGCATGTTTTTCTTTCTTTCTTCCATTTTTTCCCAGTTAAGCAGAAGTCATAAGAATGAGCGACGTAATCAGCAAAGCCATTCAGCAACGGCTGCCATGATTACCGCCAGACGCAGGCCTCGCTGCCAGGGAGTCAGAGGGCAGCCCCGTCCAAGAATACCTCATCCAACATTCACAAGATGAATTCCTTGGGAGATGCCATCTGTTTGTCTATCACCCGGGTGCCATGGGCACAGGTTAGATCCTGCAGCAGGCATGTCTCAAGCCTCAGCAGCTCCTAGAATCACAGCATGTCCTGGTTTGGTGTCTTGGCATCATTCAGCGAGGAAAAATATGGTGGTTGCTGTCAAATTCTTCCACTAAATGTTGCTTTGCACAGAGCAGCAGCATCAGTATCAGGTAATTTATTATTATTATTATTATTATTATTATTATTATTATTATTATGTTTATAATTTATCCAGCAAGTGGAGGCAACCCTTCAGCTCACAGGCTTTTTTTATCAAAACATTCCTGCATTTGATGTTTAGATTTGCTTCATGTTGTGTTGATTTCAGCTGTTTTACCACCTTAATGACAATTTAATGGGATCAAATGGCAGGGGGTGCTGTTGCAGGCACAATACACACAGTGATTCTGTCCACAAGTCTTTATCAGATAAGTAAATGAAAATATAAGCAAGGTTGGGTTATTCCAAACTCACTTGATCAACTTTAGTGTTTATTTCCTCCCCTGGGGAGCAGGGAACTGGGGTGTTATAAAAAAGCAAGCAGAGATCCACTTTTAACAAGAATTTTAGTTCATTAATAAGATATTCTAGATTACATATATTTTAATATTTAATTATTAAACCTGCATTGTTTAGCATTTTTACTATTTCCTGCATGAAGATATGCGCCTGTCACTGCCTCATCCCTAAAGCTTTAACCCTTTTATGTGTTTTCCTTTTATGCACAGCATGTGGGCCTCGGAACCAGAATCCATCGCTTCCTTTTGACTGCCAACCATTCAATAAAACCCCCATCCTCAGTCATTTCCTTGGCGTTTGCAGAGAAGCGGCTGTATTGTGTCACAGACGGACCCGATTGTTTCTTGAACCGTGTCACAAGCAGAAAAAGGAGGACTTGTTGGGCTGCGGCGCGCCGAAACACACAGAATGTCATTTAATGTTTAATATTTAGCAGATCGGATGATGAAAAGCATATTGGCAGTCCGAGCTCATCAATCACCTACCGGATGGTGTTTAGGATGCCGCGCTCTCCCCTCTCTGTCCTTTTCTCTCTCTCTCTCTCTCTCTCTCTCTCTCTCTCTCTCTCTCTCTCTCTCTCTCTCTGCCTGGTCCCTCAGAATTTGGACGCCCTTTTCCCGCACGGGTCCTCCGGTGTCCTCCAGAACCAGGTGTGATCGCAGGCTGTATTCCCATATGTGGACGCCACCGAAATTATGAACGCTCTAGTTGATGAGTGACTGGATCAGGCTGCTGCGATTATGTGCTGCCAGCCCCCTTTCTCCAGTCTCTCTCTCTCTCCCTCCCTTCCTCTCTCTCTCTCCCCTGTAACTGCTCCCTCCGCCCGATTATCTCCCCGCTGCGGCACTGACTGGCTACTCGGAAATAACGGAGAAATAAAACGTGTCTGAACCAACGCCAGGACCAACTTGCGCGGAATATATTATGGTAATGAGTCACCGGACCGCTCCGTGCCGGCTCACCCGCAGCTTGTGCGCTTTTTGCGCTGGCGCTGAGACGCGGAAACGGGGTTGGTTCCCTAAAGGAGATAGAGAGTCAAGGGAGTAGAATCCACCTATCTATCTATCTATCTATCTATCTATCTATCTATCTATCTATCTATCTATCTATCTATCTATCTATCTATCTATCTATCATCTATCTATCTATCTATCTATCTATCTATCTATCTATCTATCTATCTATCTATCTATCTATCTATCTATCTATCTATCTATCTATCTATCTATCTATCTATCTATCTATCTATCTATCTATCTATCTATCTATCTATCTATCTATCTTTTCTGTGCACCTGGTCCAAGAGTCAGGTGAGACTGAATCAGTCCTCTGATAATTGGAACATTGTTTCCCAACCTGGGGTCTTGGAGCCCTCAAGGGGTTCCTCACAGGTTGTGATTATCGTAATGTATGAGACAGACTTTTTTCAAGCAAAGCCAAATATTTCAAGTCTTTATTTGTTATATGCTTGGCTTACAGCTAACGGAAACCCCAACATTCCAAATCTTGGATAATTAGAATATTGTCAAAAGGTTCAATATTCTAGACTCAAAGTGTTGCACTAATCAACACCTGCAAAGGGTCTCTTGAGTCTTTACATATAACATTCATGGACTCGCCCATTTTGACTCAACCACGGGGAAAGCTGTTGTTGGTTTAGCATCCAGGAAACAGCAGGGAACGTTTTGGCTAGTAGAAGCTAACTGCTAGTATCAGCAGCTCCACAACACAGCAGAACTCCTCCAGACTTGTGTTATTTGTGGAGATAAAACATCAATGTTTCAAAGCAAACTAAGTCAGTGGTAGAGTTGTATTGCTGTTGGCCAATCAGAGGCAAGATGTCAGAAAATAAGACTCCAAAACCTGCCATCTGAAGCTTTTCCTTTCCAGCTGACCTGCCTGAGACCCCCCACCCCGAGTACAACTTCCAAGGCAATCATTCCTACTAGAGTAAATGTACAAAACAAGTGTTCAAAACCTTTAAATGGTCTCTCAGTCTACGCTGAATAATTGAAATTAAAGGACCTTTGCACCATATTCTCATTTATCGAGTTTCACCTCTTTTCAAAACGTTGTGTAATAGTTATAACACTGTATGTCTGTATAAAGTTTATGATTAATCAGTTATAGGAGTTGGGGGGCGTTCAAGAAAAAAGCTTCGGAACCACTGATTTAGACCACTGGAAATGAGTTCAGACCTGCTGATCTGAATAAAAATTTGAGTTATTACAATAATTTTAAGTCACTGGATCAGCTGTTTTAGGTGTGGCCCATTGTCATCATCGAGATGTAAAAGGCGCTGATTTGGCAGGTGTGTGTAGAGACACTCACTCACTTAAAAATGGAAAATCAGGTTTGGGATTTGTGTCTAAAGAAGGTTTTAAAGGAAACATGTTGGAAGAAGTTTGAAGCTTTTTTATTTTTTAAAGCAAAGCATCAAAAAGTTAGGTCGGTGAGCTACAAGCTCTATGGGGTGCTGATTGTAAAAAAGGCAAGAAATGAACAATTCACCACATTTAGATCCTTATAACACAATGTGAATCAAAATGATGTTTAAAATAAATATGTAGAGTCAAATATTCATTTTTAAATACATCTAAATACTTTTATTATAAAATCATAGTGAAGTTAAACTATTAATGTGACAGACCTCTGTACGAAAAAAAACAGACAGGAAAGCTTTTTTAATATAGCGTCTTTCATAAAAATCACAAGGTGCCTCACAAGCATGGTTAAAAACATTAAAACAATTTTTAACGGATAATGATAAAGTAATTAAATTAAATTACGAATTTACAAGAGATAAATAATAAATGAAGTTTAAAAAATGAAACGAATGAAATATAAAACAAGGAAGCCCAAAAATTTGCAGATTGCATGAAAAGAAGCTTGTGAGCAAGAAGAGGATGAAAAGGAGTTCACACGGCGAAGAGATTCCCATCTATGGCATAAGTCCAAATGTATGTTTCTGTTAGAATTTATCTTTAAATGTTTTTCGGTTAAGTCACACAATCTTTCTATCAAAGAGACTCTGAGACAATGGGAGGGGGCTATTCACACTGCTTTTATTTTGAAAGGCTACATATATTTTCTATGCTTAATATTTAGTTTAGAATCTCAAATTGTATATTTATTAATTTTCAGATTTATAATAATAATAATAATTATTATTATTATTATTATTATTATGACTATTGTTATTATTATTATTATCCATGCTGTAATCTTAAAGGAGCTGACAAACAGCGTCTAGCCCAAAGTGCTCCACAAACAAGAGCAAACATCATGAGTCGAGGATCGTTATGCCAGCGTCTTTGGTCACTGACGGGCTCAGATGGTGGCTTTTTCTCTGCCACGTCTAAATTTTGAGCTCGTTTGGACTCTTTGCCTTCATTAGCGTGTGTTTCAGCAGTCGTGTTGTAGCGCCTAATGTCAACATCCTTGTTTGAGTCTGTGACTCAGTGTCAGCAGCTGATGTGGTTTACTGTAGCTCACACACTTTCAGACGTGTTAATTAAACGTGCCTGCCTGGTTATATAATACACACACTCACCCTGTGGACTGCTACGCTCTCAGGCTGTAGTGGCACTCTGTCTGTCTGGATCTTGTTACAGCCAGCAGCTCAGATCCTTTTTTTGATACCCAATGGGACGCGATGTGAATTTACTTTCCACACTGACAGAAAAGTTGTATTTAACAACTGATGCTCAAAGTGACCCTTCTCCCTCGACCCGCCGTGCACATTTTCTTTCTGTTTCATCTTTTCTTTTCCCCCCTGCATCCATCTTTTTGCTTTCCATATCTCGCCTGCACGTCTTCCCTTATCCTCCCTCTCCATGGCGTCTCAGCGGGAGTGGGAGTGTAATTACGCAGTCAGACGGTGTTTACAGACGCAAAAGTGCCTTAATTTATTCCAACAGTTAGCAGTAATTTCCCAGTTTAATTTATAGCGCCTCCACCCAGTGGGAAAATGAGAGAACCAGACAGTGAGGCTGAAGGGGGCAGTGAGAGAGAGAGATGGAGCATATGGGCCTTATATTACACAACACAGTCAAATACTGCTGGTTTAACTGCACATTTAGGTCAGCTGCTAGGTTCAAGGAATCATCATAATTCTGTTATTTGTGGTTGGAAAACCCTCGCCCCAACAGCCGACTGATGATCGCGTCAGGTCAGGCTGCAAGAAGAAGAGTGAAGGCTGGATTAGTTTCTCCTCGCTGTCGTTAAATCAACACTGTGACCGAAGCAGCAGATCACTCTTAACACTTCTCTTCGTGTAAACAGATTTTTGGCTCGTTTTGGATGCAGTTTGCTGTGAATGTGGAGTCTCTTCACACCCAAAGTGCATTTGCTCCTGTGCTCTCCCAAGCCTCCCACAAGCTGTGAACACCGGTTAAAAACCGCTCATTGATTACATTCATGCAGCCGCCCCACAACAGCTACAGTGGCTCTTATTGACTTTTCAGAGACCACGTAAGGTAAGGGACAAAACCTTAATGACCGCACTAAAAGACTTGTGTCAAGATACCCGAGAAAAACAGCCAGCTGAACCGAGTCAGCTGCTGCAGAAACACACCGCTCCGTCCCCAGCATGAAAGCAGGGTATTGATGGAGCACTTTAGAGTGGTTTGAACAAGCAGGAAAAAACAAGAACAATGGAAGAAGGACAAGACGGTATGAAACCAATCTTTCACAGATCACACACGCAGTTTAACTCTGAAAAACTAATTAAACAGATGCTTAATAATAAAAGACTCGGCCTGCTTTAGCATCAGCATGAAAACAGCAATAAACTGTAAAAATGTGGTACATGCATGCTTAAGCTGTCTTTGGGAAGGTAAATAGCATTTAATGTAATGTTTGCATTAGTTTCTAGATAGTCAACATAACAGCTTAGCAGTAATAAGACTATTAGTAGGAGTGCAGGAGTCACAGCCACAGGGGACTGCATGTAACATATCTCCTCGTGCAGCTGGAATTATAATTTTAATAGAGAAACACTAATTAGAGAAATAAGGAGTTCAGAATCCAGGCAGAAAAAAAAGTGTGTGTGTGTGTGTGTGTGTGTGTGTGTGTGTGTGTGTGTGTGTGTGTGTGTGTGTGTGTGTGTGTGTGTGTTCTATATTAATATCGGAAGTTACATTTAAAATAGGAAAATATCGGTATTGGTTTTCAGTCTTTTCATGACCCAGCTTTTACACACCATGCACATATCAAACTCTTCAGCTACTTCTCCCTTTGCAAAAAATACAAACTGTGTTTTTTGCTACTTTTTTATTGTCTCAATGACTTCTCTTGGCCGTAGGAAGTACTCCCATCCAGAACCAGTGTATAATCTATAAAGGATGGTAGCCAGAACGCCCTCAGATTGAAGAAGCAAGCATAACTTACCACATGGAAGCAAGAAAACTGGTTTTAACCACCCAAAAATTGTCCCACCTCCCAAAAATCAATATCAATTTAAGTCTTTTATTTGAAATATTTTCTCCGCTCCAGTTGCTGCCATACGACCCTCTCCAATTACCAACTGAGGTTTTTCTATTCCTCTCTTCAAAGCTAGCAGACGGCTTTGATGAAACCAGTCATTTTTACCCCGCATCTCTCTACCTTTGCCTCAATCAGTTGATGTGTTTGCTGGTTCAGGTGTGAACCGATGACACGACTTCAGGCAGCAGCAGGCCAACAGCCGCTGTACTCTGGGAGGTAGAATCACTGTCAAAGGAGAACTTTGAAGGGAAACGTATGCGGACGTAATAACTTCACTTCATAAAGGGCTGTCTGAAGGCTAGGTGTAGTGTTAAAACTGTTCCAAAT